TGGGAGACTGTGCATGCAAAACATGATGTACCGCTGAACTATGGTCCTTTTCCAATAACATAGATACTGTTAGACCACTGGTCCATCTCAATCCGCATTGATGGGCAGTGGCTCTCCAAAAGGGGACAAAGGTATTTCTCAGTGTAGGGGAGGACCCGGGCTCAGTGGTGGAGCATCTGCTTGGCAAGAAGAAAGTCCCAGATTCAATCCCCAGAGTCTCTAGTAAAAAAAAACAGGTCAAAAGTGATATGAAAGACCTCAGAGCTCGACACCCCAGAGAGCTGGTGCCAGTCTGAGTAGACAGTACTCACCATGACGGACGGATTGTCTAATTCAGTATAAGGCAGATTTATGTGGTCATCTCCTCTCTGAGCACCTTTAACTGGAGATGCCGGGGACCGAAGCTGGGACTTTCTGCATGTAAATCATGTGCTCTACTGAGCCCGTGGCTCCTCCCTGCTCTACCCCCTTCCTGGCAAAAACCCACCAACAAAACCTGCTGGCACTCAAGAAGCCCATAAATCTGCCGATGTGGGTAGAGGAGCCGATGGATGCCAGCCCCCCTTACGCCCTCCCAGAACTCATCCACCGATCTTAATGCCGTGACGTCAGAGGCAGGGGGGGACCCAGCTGGAATTTCCACTCCCAAGCGGAACGAGGCGCTCGGAAGGCAGGAATTCCAGCGATGCAATTTTGATTTGCAACACAGCACAAGTTTGGGCTAGGACTCTCTGGGATGGAGGAGGAGGAGGAAGGCTGGGCACGTTTACAGCCGCTTCGGAAGTATCCAGGACTCCTCGGGATGTAAGCGGACTCGCCAGGAGATCCATCAACGGCAGGCGAGCCAGCCTGCTGGGTGAGGGGGCTGACTGGCGAGTTTCTAATAACTGATTTATAAAATATATATTGGAAGCCATAAAAACCAGGAGGGGACTGACATGAATTTTTCAAGTCAGAAGAACTGCCAAAGGCACGTGGCGTATGTGAGGGCTCTGCGGGAGTCGGTGGAAGAACCCGGCAGTCAAAGAACGAAAGGGGAGGGTGGGAGAGACAGATGCAGGCACTCTGGGAAGCTTACCGTCAGGGTTCTGGGAATCTGCGTCCTTGGGGATGGTGTACAGGTCATAGGTGCTGTTCTCCAGGTTACTGGCTCTCTGCAAAGAGTGGGGAAGTCAGTCAGACCCCACCTGTCTCAAATTCTCTCAGCTAGGATTCCTTCCAACAGCAGACGTTCGCTGCGATCTGTCCCTTGCCTAAGGAGGTAGATTCAACCACCCTCCATTTCCCAAATTAAAATACTAAATACCACTAACCTCCCCCCCCCCAAGAATCGCACCCCACACTGCATAATGCTGAAGGTCCTTCTGAAATGCTGTACAAAAACAGACTCTTGCAGCCAGTGTTCCCTCTAAGCTGAGTTAGTGTGAGCTAGCTCACAGTTTTTTTAGCCTGCAGCTCACAGATTTTTGTCTTAGCTCAGGAAGGATGGCTCCAAAGCAAACTAATTTATGCAGCAGACAAATTGCTTGCTCAGAATTTTAATGCTAGTAGCTCGCAAAGTAGAAATTTTGCTCACAAGACTTAGAGGGAACATTGCTTGCAGCACTCCTGTTAGTAAGCCAACCTTGATGGGTTTCTTATCATTATTATTTACGGTCAATGTAGACTTTAAATGGCTAATATGGCTTTCCTGATTACAAACAGCTGCAACAGATGCCCTGGGCAACATTTACTACCTGAGAGGTGGCTTACGGCGTGGAAGAGTGACGGAGGCACCTGCATGCATGTAGACACTTTTAGAAACATTCCCCTGAACAGGGACGATGATCCCAGGGATAGGAACCAGAGAACAGGGCCTGTCCTCTCTTTAAAAATTTAAAGTAGAGATGTATGCACACTTGTCATGACTGTCATGGATAAGCCCATGACCCATTCACTGATTAGAAGTAGCCACATTGTGTACCGTTCGGCTCACCCCATCTCAAAAAGGGTATCAGAGTTAGGAAAGGTGCAAAAACGGGCAACCAAAATGACTGAATGGATCAAGCCCCTTTAGGCCTACGCATCTAGGGTGATTTAACTGTGCGTGTACACATGTGGGGAGGCAGCTAGACAGGTTTCTAAAGTAAGCACAAGTTCCTAAAAATAGGCATCACAGGGAGAAAGGGAATACAAGGACATTTTCCTACTACTAGAACCCAGGTTATCCAATAAAACAGACTGGCAGCAGGACTAGCTGGGATACAGCCCCAAAAGCCCAGCTTAGCTTGAGTTGATCAGAGCTTGGCAGCTAAATGGGGCTGGCCACAGTCAGTAGTCGGATGGGGGAGCACCATGGAAGACTGGGGTTGCTATGCAGAGGAAGGCAATGGCAGACCGCCTCTTGCCTTGAGCACCCCGTAGATGGAATCACCATGAGTTGGTTGCAAGTCAACGGCAGATTATTCATTCAGAACCAGTACAGACAACAAGAAGTCCTTCTTCCCACAGAGGATAATTAATGTACTGAATTTGCTGCTAGTAGGCATGGTGGTGGCCACTGGTTTGAAAAGGGGACAAAGCTCTCCTCCTCCAAGAGTTTGTCCACCAAGAGCTGTTGAATACAGCATCCATATGGAACCTCGAGATTCGGACGGAGGGCTGTCGTCTTCGTGCCCTGCTTGTAGGCTTCTCAGAAACATGCTAAATGGCAACTTAAATACACTGGAGTCTCAGAAACATGGTAGAATGGAAAAATGAGGTACAGTCATCCCTAGGTATAAGCTCTACAGACAAGACATGGAGGCATTGCTCTGTATACTAAAGGGGGCTCAGAATTAGAAAACGTTTGGGGAATAAATTCCCCAACAGAAGCAACATGGGTTGGAGATACTGGGCACTAGGGGTTACTTGAAAAGAGGGGGTACTATTGCCCAACTGATCAAACCCTTGAGGCTGTTCTCAGGATGGAGAAGGATATAAAGGAGGGGACTAAAGCAGATAACGTTGTGATACTGGGTGACTTCAACTACTGCCAAACTAAGCCTGTGCTCAAGTCATGCTGTAGAAATGAGATTCCTGAGACATCATTAATAAATGTGCAATGAAACATCTGGTCATAGAGGCAGTCAGAGGGGTAGTGGTCTTGGTTCTGAGCAGGGCTCAAGACCTGGGTGTGAGAGGTAAATGTTATTTTACCTCTGCCGCTGAAGCTTCTGCTAGTGTACCTCTGTGCTGGGGAGGGCTCCTTTTACCACAGAAAGCACCACCACCAATGTTCCCTCTAAGCTGTGGAGTCCTGTGAGGAAAAATTCTACTTGGTGAGCCACTGGCATTAAAGTTGTGAGCGAGCGATTTGGCTGCTGCATAGATTAGCTTGCTCTGGAGCCCTCCTTCCTGAGTGGAGACAAAAATGTGTGAGCCGGAGCCTAAAATACTGTGAGCTGGCTCATACTCACTCAGCTTAGAGGGAACACTGAGTCCACCACCAGTGAAATGGGTCCATGGGATTCAAACCACTGAGCACCACTGCCTGGCAGAACCAGAGGCATCACATGGAACTATAAATATCTCTATTCACTACGAAGCCCCAGGCTGAGGCTAGCCCAATGTGCTACCTACACACCCCAGGAAAGATTTTGACTTACGGTGCAGAGGAGGACGGCATTCTCAGCCGGGTTGTACGACATGTTGAACACGGGGAACTTGGAGCCACTGAGAAGGAAAGAAAGCAGGGAGGAAAGTGAACTGGGACTGTCCGAGTCCCTTTATTGACGGCTGGCAGAGGGTGAGGTAGCAGGAGCCACAGACTGACTCCGAAACATGGGAATAAGGTCTACCAGGTATGGTTCTACCTTACCATAACACTTCACAGTTCATCGTATCTCTGAGCACTCAAGGCTCTTCACGTACATGATCTTAAAATCTTTAGAACTGTTTTTTAAGGAAGGCTGATACGGAAATGACTCTTGCGTTAAAAGCAAGTCTTAGCTCGCCACCTAGTGGTGCATAACTCTAAAAGAGCTAGAACTTCTAGCCGCCAGACAATCTTAGGATCTCCTGGACATACTGCACACATTGCCATAATCACCATATTGTAAATGGAGTGCTGAGAAAGGCAGCCACCTAGCAAGCTCAAGGCAAAGGCAAGATTCAAATAAGCGACTTCCTGATTCAGGGCTCAGTTTCTCAGCCATGACTGCTGCTCTCTCAAAGGCCACTGCATCTATACCGGAAAGCAATGACCCAGGCCAGATTCTGACAATACAGGCATATCACTACAGAAGCCAGCGTGGTGGAGTGTTTGGAGAGTCAGAATGGCAGCGGGTTTGGCTCCTCACTCTGCCCTGGAGCTCCCTGGGTTACCACGGGACAGTCACACCTTCCCAGCTTAGCCTACCTCACCGGGATTGCTGCTGTGAGGATAAAAAGCAGAAGGGGAGAACGATGTTGCAAGCCTCTTTGGGTCCCCATTGGGAAGAAAAGCGGAGTCTAAATATTTTAAAAATAAATTCATTCCCTCATGGCTCCATTTCTGGCTCTGGGAAAGATGAATGCAGAAACTATGTAGGAGAGGGCAAACGACTTGGTGATGGAAGGAAGGGGGGGAGGAGGAGAGGAGATTGGATTTTTACCCTGCCCTTCCTTACCTGAAGGAGTCTCAGAGTAGCTAACAATCTCCTTACCTTCCTCTCCCCACAACAGACACCCTGTGAGGTAGGTGGGGCTGAGAGAGCTCTGAGAGAACTGTAATTGACCTAAGGTGACCCAGCTGGCTTCAAGTGGGAGAGGAGTGGGGGAGTCAAACCTGGTCCTCCAGATTACAGTCCACCGCTCTTAACCACTACACTGAACTGGCTCATAGTACAGGATTAGCTGAGGGGCCTTAGCTCAGCGGCAGAGCTTCTGCTTTGCATGCAGAAGGTCCCAGGCTCAATCCCTGGCAGCTCCAGTTGAAAGAATCAGGTGGAGGGGATGTGAAAGACCTCAGCTTGAGACCCTGGAGAGCTGCTACCAATGTGAGCAGACTTGGATAGACCAAGGGCATGATTCTGCATCAGGCAGCTTTGTGTGATCATGTGTGAATGCGCAAGCTTTTGAAACTGGTATTTCTCCATGCCCAAACCCAACACTTTTAAACGTGATGCAGTGTTGGCTCACTGGTATCACCCAAACTTGTACGAAAGAAAAGAATCCACATTCAGGTCTTAAAGAGTTGGGACATGATGCTAACAGTTCACTATGCCAAGAAAAGCTGGCTCTTTCCACACACCCTTGTGTAGCTCACAGCAATGCCAGAGAGTACATGTGCACGCATGAGGGCACATGTGCTTTGTGCAAGACAGCAACCTCCCTTCCAACTCCTGTGGTTCCTCTGTAGGCGGCAATCCTGCGGGAACCAAGAGCAGCAGGAGCAAGATGAGAAACCTGCGCAGAACAGGGAGCCGAAAACCCAAAGGTGAAGAGAGCGCCCCCGCCCCACCTCCTCAGCTGCATCACGGCCACATCTTTGGAGCTGTTGAAGTCCAGCTGGCGGAGGAAGCGGTCCTTCACATAGTAGAGCATGTTGCCATGCACAGCGTAGGCAGGCCGCTCACGTTCCAGCTTGAACACAATCATACCACCATCATGTCCTGGAAGCAGAAAAGGAGAGACATTTCAGAGGGCTGGTGGCCGTGCTGGTCTGACGGGGCAAGGATCAACCACCTCGTGGCACTTGAAAGACCAACAGATTTGTTGTGGCATCAGGTTTCGTGGGCCACAGCCCCACTGGAAGGAGACTGGAAGTGCTCAGAAAGTATCTGGGGCTGTGGCAGAGACTTGCAACGAACTTAGAGATGTCAGTGAATTCAAACCTGGAATTTGCCCCTACTGCTATTATTTTTAAAAAGCCCTGAATTGGATGGCCCAGACTTACTGAATCTCGGCAGCTAAGCACGGTCGCTGTCCTTGATTAGTACTTGAACGGGAGATCACCAAGGAATACTAGGGTTGCAACACGGAGGCAAGCGATGGTAAACCACCTCAGTTTGTCTCTTGGCTTGAAAGTCCCATAGAAACAGTAGCGTCCACCACAATGTTATTCATGAGGGTCTAATTTTTACACATAGAGAGCTTTGCAGGTGGAGGACACTAAGCCCTCCCTTGGCTTACCTCGCAGGGGACCGTAACCTGAGCACTTCCCCTCCCGCCTGGCTGATACCAGAAGCAAGCTAGGCTGGGAGAAGGATGCTCGGAGAGAAGGGCTGCAGAGAGGTAAGGCAGGAGAGAACAATTCGGCCCTCTCTACAAATAAAGATGACACAGGAGCAAAAAACGTTCCTGCCACCATCACGTCCACTTTCACCTTAAGAGGACAAATGTAAACTCCATATTCAGAGTCTTATTTTACTGCGACTTTAATCATGGTTGTTTTAATCTCTTCTGTGGAAAAAAAAGTGGGGGGGGGGGGGGAACCTAGAAATTAAATGGCGAGCAAGCCAGTTTACATCTCTGCACTGGATGGTTTTTGGACAGCCTCAAACACCACGGCAAGCTGAAAAAGTGGGGGAAATCAAACCTACTGGGAACCTAATAGCGCAATCCTACACAAAGTTACTCCACTGCAATCGACAGCACAAAGCTGCCTAGGATCACACTGTAAAATGATGTGCTGTGAGCTTCTTGGAAGATGGGAAGGGAAATTATTAACAGGTAAGAGAAATGCAGTGAACTGAACAGAGCTTGGATATCCAAAGAGATCTTTACCTGCAGCAAAGAGGTTGAGGTTGGGGTGAGCTGCCAACACCCAAAAGCGATCGTGGTCCCTGCGGAAAGTCTGGACGCCCGTGCTAAGGTGGGAAGTGAGAAACAGATGCCTTAACACACAAACAGCAGAACCTTTTTGCTAAAAACCCATTTAGAAAATACATAATTAGCCCTTTTCCTATCCAACCAGTTTTGCACAACAATCCTTCTCCCCATTGAAAGAACGTATTGTGCCGCACAGTCCTAAAACATTTGGCTCCTCCACCCTTGGGGCCACGCAGGCCAGGATACCTCAGCATTCTTGAAGAACCAAACACGCAGGCGGCAGGAACGCCAGCCCGCCACATTTACCGTTTGGACATATCCCAGACACGGATGCTCTTGTCCTCGGAATTACTGAGGATCAGCTCCTGACGGGGATGGAACACGGCGCAGGAGACGTTGTTGTAGTGCCCACGGCAAGTGTCCACTTCCCAAGCTTTCGATTCTGGGGGTGGGTGGGGAGAAACACACAGGGAGGAAGAGATGAGCGATCACGAACTGCTCTCTTGCGTGAGACTTTTGTGACTGCAATGCCAAGGTAAGTGGCCCATCCATGCCAGGGAGCTTGGGATGCAGTGCTCAAGAGGTCCTTACTGGTTGGGCAAGCAGGAAAAAAAAAAGAGGTCCTTACTGGGAATGGGTCACCAGGCCTGCCCAGCGGCTGTCAGTAATGGAGGGGCGCTACAGCTGTTCCGAGCTCAGGTCCACTGATGTATTTACAAGAGACAACGAGACAATTTTTACGGCCTCAGCCTTCTCCAGGCTAGCCAGAGAGTCAGGGTCACCTAAGGGGACAGGGTTCCTCTCCCCAATATCCTGGCGGCATTTCCAAACCCTTGTACTGCAGCAACCGGGTGCTTTGCACAAACAGGGAAAGGCCATTGCCTTCACATCTGGCTTGGTCTGACCTGCATCAAGGCGATGCCTGTGTTTTCATGGCCACTTGACAAGACACTCTTGCAGTTTCTTCTCATAAGCCTCCCGAGAAGACAGCACCACCTTTGGCAATTTGTTCTACAGCCTAACTCACAGCATGAAGAGTTAACTGGACCAGAATCGTGTTGATTGGAACCAGGGGTCGTTTCGTAGAAAAAGAGCTAGGGGAACTCATTAGCATAACTCATTAGCATATGCCACACCCCCTGACATCAGGGGCCCGGCGGTGGACCTGCAAGGCCGGCGGGAGTGCGAGGAAGCCCCGCGAAGGCCCTCCTTGGCCCCAGGCAGGCAGGGGTGGGGAGAGGCGGGGAGGAAGCAACTTACCCTCCCTCTTCTCCTGCCTCCTCTTGGCTGAATGAGGGCCGGAAGCGGGGCGGCCGGAAGCAGGGGGTGGGGCTTCGTCGTGTGCCCCGCCCCCCTGCACCACACCCGGGGGAACTGCGATCCCCCGCGATATGACCTCTGATTGGAACTAACTGGGCCAACTTGTGAAAGTATGTATCATCATCAGTCTCTGCCCCATGAGTACCGGGTTAAGATGCGGGGGACTTGGCAACATTTATGGTTCGCGCTGGTTCCATCCATAAAGTGCAAACTGCAGGGCTGGTGCAGCCTCAATTTGCCTTGGGGCCAAGCAGAGGACAAACAGTCAAGTGCCATGATCTTGCTATCAGAAATTGGACTCCTTGCTTTGTTACTGGCATTTTAAAGGCAGGTGTGTGTGTTTTTAAAGAACACGTTCTTGCCATTGCAGTGCAAGAAAATAATTAAGTTGTGCACCTCATAGGCGGAAGCACGGTCAGAGAAGGAGGAGGCGAAACCAAACACTCCCCAAGCTTTATACAAGGAGACAGCAACTGTACCCATCAGTTGGAGAATTGGGCTGTCCACACAAATGAAACTGGAGCTCCTGGGCTCTCAGGTAAACTGGAGCGCTTGTGAGTGCCTGGGAACCAGAGACACCACCTTTGCAACCACCACAAGAGTCTGTACCTCTTAGCAGCTTGCCTAATTGTTGACAACCACCTCTTTTGGCTTTGCTTCACTGGCACCCAACACTGGGGAGCTGGCCCCTGCTCAGAGCTGCAACCAGTCGGGAGCAAAGAGTTCAGCAACATCTGCTGAGTCCCCAAACCGATGGCAGCGGTTTGCCACATCACATATTCTTGTATACCATGTGCCCCTCCCCCGACTGTATGGTGCGCACCCCCAGCCTTACCTTTCCAATGTTCCCACCCATGGATCCCACCCCCGTGGCAACATCCCACTCAAACGGGCTCTTCTGCAGCTAATGGTCTCACCTTATAACCACCAATCTGCATGCTTACAAGGACTGTCTCTAACCAAAACAGGTTATCAAGCTGAGCATTCCTACTGAGGTCAAAAAGCAAACACTTAATTGGCGCGTGGACGAGCTACAGTCTGTAAACTTGCCATTCATCCTCCAGATCTTGACCTGCCGATCGTCAGCTCCCGACACTATGAGAGGCATGGTGGGATGGAAAGCAGCCCAGTTTACTCCACGATCGTGTCCCTGGAGGAAAGGGATACTCTCAGACCATGGCTGCCGCTTGGAAGCAATCAATGTAAGGAAGACTGTGGATTCTGGCAAATTCTGCTGTGCATGCAGTTTTGAGCTCTGGCATCTCTAGTTAAAGGGTATCAGGTAGGAGGTATTGACTGGCAAAGGTTCTTCTGGATCCAAGACTCTGGAGAGCTGCTGCCAATCTGACTAGCAAACACTGACCTAACGGATTGTGAATCTAACACAATGTAAAGCCATTTCGTATGTTCACTTGTGGAATGGCCTGCCCGAGGAAGTCATGAGGGCTCCTATCATTTCATGAAATGTGCAAAACAGAAATGTTCTGGAGGGCATTTTTATACAAAGATTAGAACTGTAGTATAAAGGTTGCCTTTTGAATGGCACAGGGCTATAGTCTATGGCAATGATTATTGTATACATCATCTTCATTTTGCTGCATTGTCTTGTACTTTTGTAATTCACTTTCTACATTGGTACATCAAGTCTTAAGACAGGTCTTTAAAAAAAACTGTCTTCCAATTCTGTAATCTTACTGCATTTTGCTAGCGGATGTCTTTTGCTATCTGAGCTGTTTTTTTATATTTTGTAATCTGCCTTGTGACTCAGCAAAAACAGCGGGCTATAAATGAATTTAGGGAACGGGGGCATGGCTTTGGGCCATGGGGCCTGCAGAAGGACCCTGAGGTTCAATCCCCCCAGGCAGCAGTGACTGGAAAGACCTCTCTTGCTTCCCATCAGACCAGGCAACCAGGCAGTTGTCTGATATGGCATAAGGAAGCTTCATACGTTCAGGCAAGAATTGACCAATCCACAGTCGCTTGAGTCCCAAACTAAAAGCAATCTCTGATAAAGACACTCTGACAGTATCTACCGGGTGTACATATTGGTGCCCCTTACTGGGTTATGGAATGGATGGCAGTAGAAAGTGACACCCCCTCCCCCAATGGCTGTTGAGATGAGACAACTCAGCACGATGGTTTCAACAGCAGGTATGCATGGAGCCGTACACAAACCCAACGGTACCTCCAGGACATGTTTCACTACTGCATCGGTTGTGCCAAAGAGGTCTACACCCGTGATCCCCCGGACATCTGACTCCACAGCTCCAGGAGAGAGGTTCTTCTTTCTCAGGCCTTCCAGGTGAGAATAAGAGAACAGTACAGAGGGAGCAAACACAAGGTTATCAGGAAGCCCTGCAACTTTCAGGAATGCTGCTTGTATAAATGTAGAGTATACTCATGAACAAGAGCAAACAGGTAAAGGAGGAACAGAATGGAAGGCAGATTTTCCCACAAACCTCTGCTAAAATCAAAGGGTCATTTATAGAATTACCAGCATTCTCTAGGACAATCAAGTCTTCTGCAACCAGGTGGACAACAGTGACATACAGCCCAATGCAGGCCCTGGTCACACGGGCCGGATATCGCGGGGGGGGGGAGGCGTGGCTAATTGCCCTGGCGCAGTTTGACCCGCGATTACGCGATCAGACGCACCGGCAGCACAACATGGGTCCTCCCGTCGGCGCCGGCAGGTAAACGAGGGACCGGAGGGGAATGCCGCACGCTGGCGCGATCACACCACGGGAGTCTGGAGGCAGCCCGTGGCAAACGTTTACTAGTACTTTGGAGGTACTACTTTTTTAACGTGCATTTTCAGCAGTAAGCCACAGGTGCGCTTCACTTCCCAGATGTAGGGGTGTGATTGTGCCCGGATAATCCGCCCACCATCCGTGCCTCTCCCGCGGCAACTTTGCCGTGTGACCGGGGTTGCAGAAGGCAAAGAATGGTAGTTGGTCTTTGATTGTGTATTACACCATCGTGTATTATGCTGCATTTTAAACCATTCTGCCTGGGGGTCTGTGCCCGTGTTAAGATTTTAAATATGGATTTGGCCATTAACAGGAGTTCTCAAGTTAAGGTAGTAGACAGGGCCCAGGGCAGCAGAAGGATCGCACTCTCCTGTCTGTGTCCAAACATACCTGCTCATCAAGATCATCTTTGGGGACCGTCTTTTGGGTATCTGCCTTAGGCAGTGGCAACTGGTAGCAGAGCCTTCTTGGATGCAGAAACTCAACTTTGGCTCCCCTCCCCCCAAGGAGGCGCACTCCCCTTTTTTCTTTTCAGGACATCCGACCAAAACTAGACATCATCGGATCCTTCAGTCTCTTATATCAGGGGACGGCTCTTCGCACCAGGGAAAGCGCCGTTAGTCTAATGGACCCACAGGAACTGACCCTTTATTCTGTTGCAAATTTCCTGGCTGATCTTTCTACTGCTGTTTTTCCTTGCCAATCTCATTTTTACGGTTAAATCGCTACACTTGATTTCACAACCTTTTAATGTTTTAAACACTTAATTAAGTCTTGTTAGATCTAACTGTCAGCCAACCTGGGTAATAAAGTGATGGGCAGCGTGGCCTAGGGGTGAGGGTGCCAGGAAAAGGATCTGGGAAACCCAGGTTCGACCCCCCACTCTGCCAAGGAAGGCTGCTGGGTGACCTTGGGCCAGTCACACACACTCAGCCTACCCCAGGGTCCCCAACCCTCCTGAGCCTGCGGGCACCGTTGGAATCCTAGCACTGGATGGTAGGCACCAACTCCAAAGTGGCTGCCATTAGAGGCAGGGCCAACCACAAAATAGTCTCTACGAAAGCCGGTGCTCACCACAAAAACCTTGCAGAGCGAGAGCATACGTAACTCTAGCAATAACTCAACATTTCAGGCAGAAGCTCAG